AGGTTTGGAACAACACGAGGGTGAGTAATTAATGACAGAATTTTCATTTTTGGGTGAACTAACCCTTTAATTGTAAATTGATAATCAGCCCTGAAAATTATACCATGCTAAATGGATTGTGAAACTGCTGTGTATAGGCACACGCACACATCAAAGAACGGTCTGATACCATCACTTCCTCTTGGGATTTCATTTATATAAGGCGCTATCATGTGGCATACATGGGTATAAAGTGTTCGATGTATTGAAACTGAGTTCATAAAGTGTGTTTGGTTGCAGGTGTTGATCTTGGTGGGTGTCTGTGTAGTCTGCAGTTTGGTTGTTTGTCCAGTGGATATCCCATCACCCATCTGCGTGACCACCGTGACTGGGACTGCATGCTCTGGTGCTGAAAGGAAAAGATAACCACAATGGGGATAAGTTTATTTGTACACAAAAAGACTGAAAGAAATGGACCACCCAGTCAGACAGCGACTACTAACAGTCTCTTTTTCTCTCCCATACTTGCAGGCTTTCACAAAATGCCTAAAAGGAATACTTCCTAAAGATTTTCCTCTTTGCTGTCAACGATTTATAGCATTCCAGCACTTGTGCGTCTCTTAAATTACAGGTCCCCGGTTCCCTGGTGACGATGGATTCAGAGCCTGAGGAAGATGCTCTGTGTGATTTATAACTATTCCAACTTATTGTTTTTAGGGCCAATCAAAGTCATTTAGTGTCAGCGGTGGAATGATTGCACGTTCAGTGTCTTTGGGCGTAATGAAATATTTTACAGTGACATCTCTTTCGTGTTTCCCCTTGCTGTCTTTGAATCCATAAAATAATTTGTGTATTTATGAGATTGTCACTGCTCCATTCGGCCTCCCTTTTTTTCTTCATTATGATTCAAGACTTTTGGCAGATTAAGCTCATTGGAATCCGCGGTAGTGCTGGGATATCTCCCCGAATGGCTTAATAATAACTTATTTAAATTATGAATTGTTCCCTGGAGACGGATAATGTTTATTAAATTGTTTGGTGCTATGATGCATTGCACACGTTAAGTAGAAATGAAAGAATAAAAATGCCTCAGGACCTTTCTGAATGCCTGTCTACTAATACGAAACATGTGTCCTCCATTTTGTCAGTGTGATAACTAATCAGATGTCGTGGCCTTTGCCCCCTCTCGCCGCAGTGTCCGCGCTCGGACCACCAGACCTGGCTCAGGAGATGTGGCAGCCGTTGTTTTTCAAAGGTTTGTATATTTATATATATTTAGGGAGTTGGAGTCCCCATGGCTGTGTTGGTTTGGAGCTGTGCGGAGCTGTGTTCAGTGTCATTCCCCAGCCTTTGGGCCAAATGTCACAGATGCTTGTGTTTTCCTGGGCCTGGGATCAGATGTCAACTGGCAGGTCATATATCAGGCCCACCTCGCTGTCTCTGTGTAGCTTCCAGCCCGGTTTTCTAGGCCTGCTCATACGTGAGATGAGCTTTTAGATGTGCCAACCAAACTGACGATTAAATAGGTATTCTTATATATATATAATATATATTTTTATATATATATATATATATATATATATATATATATGTGTATATGTTCAGTTTTTTGTTTGTTTGCTTGTTTTTTTTAATATAAATTAATAATTTTATTTAGCAAAGATGATGTTCTTTTGAATTTTCTATTCATCAGACAAATCCCCAAAAAGCATTGTTTTTATAAAAATATTAAGTAGCAGTTTTTAATATTGAAAATCCGCATATTTGAATGATTTCTGAAGGATCATGTAACACTGAAGACTGGAGAAATGGCTGCTGGAAATTCAGCTTTGCCATAACGGGAATAAATTGCATTTTAAATATACTTTATATAGTTATTTTTTTAATTTTAATAGAATAGAATTTAATATAATATATTACTCGAAAAAATTACTACAAAACAACTGCAAAAAAATGAAAGTTTACCTTTAAAAATGTGGTAATCCATCTGAAATATATACATTTATATATTACGACTAACCATTTTTGTAGTAGCAATGCTTAAAAAACAACACACAAATGTTGGCAATTTTTTTTTTTCAATTAAGCAAACATTTTAAAAATGGGATGGATGGATGGATGGATGGATAGATGGGATAACATTAGTGTTGAAGTTCTCAGGAAATATACTGACACTATGCCAGAGAGATGTGCTTCTGGAATCGCTGCAAAAGGTGGACAAATCAAATATTCAAGTTAAAAGTGAATAAAAACAGTAAGACTCACTTCATCTGATATTTGTTGTGCACAGAGCAACCATCTGCATGTTTCATGAACATTATGAAATTAAATGTTTTGGAGGCAAAAAAAGTTCAATATATTCAGATCTGTCAGGCATTCTAACAATTTTGCCCACCACTGTAGATAGATGGAAGGATGGATGTAGTTACAGTGAGTGCTTGTGAGTCATCATAAGTCATAGTGACCTGGATAGAAATATGCAATTTGTTACATCCTCCGGTGTTCAGTTGGGATAGTGTAGAGCTGGTCTCCCCAGCCCAAGAGAGCCAGTGACCTGATTGACCAAATGACAGGCGCGGTCGTCACCTTTGCTCTGAGGGACTGTATGTATGTGTGTGGGGTGGGTTTTGAGGGTGGGCGGTGTGTGTGTGTAGTCGGTGGGGAGGGGTGGAGAGATGCGAGGCTGAAGTCCTAAGCATGGTGGAGGGTGGTGAGAGGCTCGCTGGCCACCCAAGTGGCAGAAAACC